ACACACACACACACTGTTGAACATGCATACAGCCTCACACATAACTTACACATGCTCTTGTGGTCATACCAACCCACATACATCCGACACACACACCAGACATACAGCAGCGATACCGAGAAGCACATTGGTACAATCACACATGCCGATCACTAAACATTCGCTGACAATGGGATAGTATGAAGGCTTTTTTAACACTGGAACAATGTCCTCTTCGTCGCTTTCATTTCCTCACCCTCTCTATTATGTTCATCCTTTCATGCTCTACCTAGGGAACATTTTACTGCGTTCGTTTGGATTACTGTCTCTTGTAAAGGGACCTAGTCAACCATCACCATGTTTAGGCGGAATTTCATAATTCCTGTCCCATTTGTTCTAGAACGTTCAAATTTGGTAGAAGTATAGGAGACAAGATGGGAACAATCATGGTTGGCGGCACGACCAGACTCCGACCACCAGGCCCAAACTTTGGCCCCATAGCGCCTAAGCAACTTGAGAAGTGATAATGACAAATTCAGAAGAAGCTTGCGATTCAAAAATCGACGGCATTGAAGCGCGGTAGCATACATTCATTACGAAAGCTACTGCAGAAGTTCTTGAGCGAAGCCTTCGAATGTTTTGGGTTTTCAGCAGTCCATCCCTCACTACGAGAATCTTGGAAGCGAATAGCATCACGCTTACGCCACGCCTAATCGTATCGTATGTTGCTCCAATAAGCCAGGCCTCTCATGCACTCCGTTTCTATATTAGAAAAGTAAGAAATGTAAAATTCGATCTGAAATCTTATAACATCATTTTCGGACCGTTGGATTAGGGCGAATATGACCGTTATTATGCAAGCTTAACGCTTTAGTTCTTCTCTTCTGACTTTCACTACCTTCACCTTTATTCTATGCTAATTCTAAAACTACCCTGATAATATTACTGCCTAATTATATGTTCCTATATTTTTCTGTCATAGTGCTCTGAGCTCACTCGAATCTGAAATGAGCAGGATTTCTCAGTTTGCGAATTTCATTTGACCGACAGGAGTTAATAGTGAAAGCCATCGTTAGAGACGTCACAAAACGATGAACAAACGTCGACGAATAAATGGTGGACGCAGTTCAAGTAAATGGCCGAGTTCCATAAATAGTGACTGAATCAAATAATTCCGTAAAATTACAAATAATGCATATCCTTTCCGCGTCTCATACATCTCGTTACTTTTTTTTTAAATATGGAGCAACTAAATGACGGCAACTGGGTTCTCAATAACTTACATTAAGAAAATTCGAGAAAAATGGATAGTGCTGGACACGATTAGGCCGGACCAGACTTAGGATCGAGCTCAACGGCTTCAAGGCTTCAATCGGAACGTTATCTTTCAAAAAACACATGGCACCGGATAATTTCGACCAGATAGACAGAACAAACAAACAAAAAATTGTGCACGGAGAGAAATCGACCGATGCTCACGGGAATTGAGATATCCTGTTTTAAGAAATGACAAGAAACGAAGCAGCACAGCTATTTCGAGAAGATCTCAATCGAGAGAAGCAGAGATACTCATCGACAAAACAACTAGTCAAACAAGGAAGAACCAATGTCCTTGTCAAAAGGCTCTTTTTGAAGTTGTTTTTTAGGAATTGGGAAATGTGCGTTCGAATAAGGTCATGCCGTGAAATAAGACATGTTGTGTGTACAAGTTGCACACATTGCATTTGATTTCACCGGTCACTGTATGGACTGGGGCCCAAACTGGATTTTCGTCGCTCTGACACAATGGAAACCTTTTTGAGAACCATAGCAATAGAGCCCCGAATAGCTCTACAAGCAACAGCCACATGTCCTTCCCCCTCCTCCCTCTTTACTCGCTAGTTTTCATCACGGAGCTTCTACAGTACACCGCGGCTACATGACATTGGAGCGCCCTTTCTACTAAGGTAGGTACTCCAACCTACTGGGCCCAGAAAAGGACAGTATTCGGTTCACTTACTTCGCACATTTGACTTTTATTAGGAGCCCTAAATGCCTTTGAACATGCAAATGGTTATATGATAACGTGCAACCGGTGTGCAGTCGGCTTTCTATTCTCCTGAACAAAACCATTTACACCTACGCAATCAAGGGAAGGAGGAAACAGGAGAAATTCTTGCCGTAACACCTCTATTATTTTATTCTCCTAGCAGTTGTAAAAGGCCGTAAAACATCTTCATCAGCTACGTTCCATAGTATTAGATTGATAATTAAGTCATTGCGTATTTTTCTATTTGTAGGTACCTCAGACATTTATCTTTAATAGAAACTCCGTTTTTTTCGGAACTGTTTATATCTATGGACCAGCCACCTGAGCATTATATGGCTTTGACCAAGATACGGAGAAACTCTGGTCTGCTCAGATCGGTTGACAAATATTTCATTTTATTGAGTAGAGTGGGCAGGAAGGGTTAACCAAAAACCAAAATGTTCCCGATTAACTTGCCCTCTATGTAGGCAAAATGCAGAAGCAAAATTTTCTAAGGAGATTCTGTGGGGCAAATATAGACTGCTAAGAATATTGGTAGTAGCCCGGCAAAAGGAAATGAAGAAGGAACATTCAAAATGAACATCAGGAAGAAGTGGTTCTTATTGAAAAGTAAAAATGACTAAACAACAGGATGATAAGAACAACGACAATTTTATGATGTTTATTTGAAATGAATCATTACACCGTGAGAAAGTTTTCTGAGGATTATTTCTTGAGTTACAGTTGTTCAGCACGGATACGTTTTTTATGACTTCCTAGGACTCTATGACTCTTTTGCGGCACGATCCTCTGTACTACAACTCGGCATCATTAACCAGAAGGCTATTTCATGCGCTTGAATGCTAGATTCGTGCTTGTCCACAAATACAATAGAATAGTAAAATGTGAATAAAATGTTTAG